CTTCATCCAAAAGGAAGACCCAAATACGGCCCATCTTTTCTACAGGCAAATACCAAAGTACGACCACTGCTGGAAAAAAACACTGCTTTCCCTGCAGCAGCTTGCCAAGGTGACAACCCTGGACAAAAGAACTGTCACTTCTCTTGGCTATCTACCTGTTAAAACCAAATACCTGCAGAGATGATCGCTGAGATGCTGTAACACGATGGGAATCAGGAGGATCTGGAATGTGAGGGCAGGCAGGTAGTGGTACAGGAAAAGTGTTTTCTCCAGCAGGAAGAAGGGCAGGTAATTCACAGCCCAGCCTCCACCACAGATGCCCCCGGCTGATACCCACAGCTGCCATGCATCTGCAGGAGACAGGAGACAGATACCATCTCAAAGCACTGTCCTTGGAAACCCCAGGTCTCTAGGAGGTTGCCTACTTGCATGGTTTGAGTTTTTCCCCAGGCTCTCCAGTTTGTGCTAAGAACTTGACCACGCTCAAGTGAGGCGAATGGTTAAATTTTGTTACACTTTTATGAAGTACCCATCAAGACAGATTACTGATGAAATGGCTTCAGAGCGTGACAACAAAAGGTACTGCCAGAGAGGGCAGCATGAAACCACCTGGCCACAGGGAGGAGATGGCACCTCTGTGGGAACCAACATGTCTCAAATAAACCCCTCCCCACACAGCCAGTACCTACCTCTTCTAAATCATCACAAAATGGCTCCGTAGAATCCAAATCTGATGCCTGGGCATTTCTTACATGCAGGAAGTGATTCAAATAAATATTATGCTGGCTACTATATTGTCTCATAAGATAAAGGTCATATTGCAATGACTATAATCAGTGTCTTCAAGGGCTACTCTAGATGTTTGTGTGCCCCTAATAAAAACTTCAGGGCTAGTGGGTAGGGAAAAAGTGCTAGCCTAGCCAAGCACATAGGTGCAAAAATGTGACTTTGGGGCTGTTAAATTGCAACAGAACAAGTGACAACCACCCCTCCTCGCCACACACACAATGGAATCAAGACCTTCAGGAATGTCGTAAATTTTTCTTCTTCGTCGTATCAAGTACCACAGGGACAGACACATGTAGACCAGAGCAGCAATGTTGGCTGAAGCCCAGGTGACAACATTCCCAAGGAGGTGGATCTGGGCCTGCAGGATAGGAGATAGTCTAAGCCAGAAGCAGGAACGTGCTGCAGTTCTTTTAGCTAAGTTTAAATATTACCTACAGAGACTTGCTAAATTAAACTTCAGCATGTGCCTGGCTAGTAACCTGGTATTTTCTGGAACAAAGCAAGCTGACAAACGTTGCTGCTTCAAGACTCTTTTGTAATGTAAGGCATTAAAAAGATGTTTCTAAGTGTAATCAATAATGGGAACTATAAACTGCAGTTTACCAAAAAAAAGGGCACCAAGATATGATTTAATTAAAAGCAACTGTCAAAGCTGTATCACATGCTGAAACAAACCCCAACCCTCAGGGAAAATATATTCTTCATACAGGAAGGATCCATCCCGGAGCAGCTCCTTGGCTGGAACTGCAGCCCTGCTCTCACTCACACTTGTGGAGCTCACACCTGACCCAAAGTCTGCTTTCTTCACCAGGTTCATGTCTGCTTCTACCTCTTATACTTACACCAGAGGTCGGGTGGAGCCAGTAGGCAATATTTGTGTCCATTGTGATCCAGTCAAGAGCAGAGGAGCTGTACTTATGTTCCGTGTCTTCATTTTTTAACGTGAGTATTTTCCACTAGGAAAAAAGTCAACAAAAGCCTTTCAGAACTGGACCAGTAAGTGGGATAGCAGGCATGGGGTGAACAGCTCCAGATGTGAGATGGTAAGTTCTTAACCCAGGAGCGGAGAAAGCTTTTGCATATCTCATACTGGATACTGATCAATAGAATGGTTTTATTTTGTTCTTATATAACATTCCTTCCTTAGGGAATTTCTGCAGTGTTAGTAAGGGGAATCACCACTACTGACTGTTCGGTTTCAGCAGCACGGGTGCCCCGTCCCCCCCCCCCCGTCTTTTTTCATACAATCACTCGGGTATTCGTTACTGAATAGCACAGGTCTCTAATGCCCTTCTAAGTGCATTCAGAATTTTTATTTCTCAGTGAGAAAATCAAACTACTCTGTCAGCAAGGAATAAAAAATGAATTGTCAGAGTCTGCAAAAAACACTCAGGTTCCAGCTCTGCCGCAGAAGGAAAGATGAAGGGAATAACAAGACACACCTGCAATTCCATGAACTTTGCCATGAAGCTGAGGTTTTTACTTATGTCCATCTGAGTGGGAGAGTGGAGTTCCACTTCCCTCTCTTTTTGCTCTTGGCCTGGGAGAAAACAGCATAGCTCAGAAAAGAATATGCAACAGGTAGAAAGTTAGAAAGAGGAGAGAGCACACGATACACCCCTGGCTCCCCACACTCCCAGAAGCCCTTCTCTAAAACATAGTCCAACTGCAAGAGCACTTTAAGGGGATTTTTGAGGATTCTGACAGAGCCAGAGCCTCCTGAACACACACTACCACCTTCCCATCAACATGAAGCCTCCCCCAGTCACAGAAATCTGCTTCAAGAACATGGCTGAGACATACTTTTCCCGTATCTGTGCTCTTCCACATTCCACACCATGCTCTGGTGGTAGCCTTTGGACAGCTTCTCACCAACCACCTCCAGCTGCCGGTATCCCCACTCGGGTAAAGATGCTCCACTGAGCTGAAAGTGAAAGATGACTGTAAACTTACAGTCCTGCCCATTTGACCTTCAGGACAGAAGCTCCTAGGCCCTGCCTGAGCAGCAGATGACAGCAAGGGAAGAGTCACCACGCAATACTGTCTCAACAAATGCTACAGCCACAAAGCGCTGGCAAACTCTGTGAGGAGATCCTTAACTATTCCAGCTGCTGTCACATGCACACAGACTCAGCACCACTTTCTGAGGCAGCATCTGAGGCCCAGTTGCACACAGTGGCCACAACCTCCTAAGAAGCAAGCCAGCTCTGCATGCTGAAAAGCAATAAAGTGTGAGTATGCCTACCTGAAACACATGCTGCTTTTTTATCACATTGAGCAAGTTTATTGTTTCCTTTTATTTACGTATTCGTTTTAGTGGTTTAGGCATTTTGGAGCAGAGAGATTAGTAGTTTATGAGATTACAAGAACTGCATGGAGCAAAAGCTATAGGCAAATAAACATAAATCCACTTGCCTTCAGCACTGCAGAGGTGTTCACGTGAACAAATCTCACTTCTGACAGAATTGTCTTCCACACATCTGTGTCAGACTCCCGATTTACAATTTCCTACAACAGAAAGATGTCTTCTGATTGTCGTTTTGTCTCAGCTGTTTCTGCTGGAACATGATGAGCTCCACCCTTCCCTTTGACCACTCACCACTCTCCAAAGGTTCTGTGCTGGCATGGAGATGTTATAATCAATATAGCAGGAAACTTCTTGGGAGTGGGGGCTAAGAGGGGCAGCAACATCATGCCTAGAAGACAAGTAAAGGAAGATCCTCCAACACCATTCCCCACATTCATATAAAACGCAAACCTGGAAAGGTATTGAATTGGCTTAGACCAGATTAATAAAGCAAGAAATAACTCATTTATACAGATTGCAGTGTTTACTCTGCAAGAGAACACTCCCCACTACCAAGAGCTGCCAGGAACAGGCTCAGAGGAAGCCAGTGCAGATGCCTTCTATGCCAGGCTGAAGAACAAGCACTGATTGTGACAAACAGAAACGCTGTTCACTGGAGTTTCCAATAATGAACAAATTAGGTTTGGAAGGGATATAGCAAAGACCCAGGATCAGAACGACCCCCTTCCTAATCTGAGTGATATTCAAGCACATGTAAACGCCCTTTGGGAAGCAGTCAGGAGGCAATTTCATACCGCAGTCTTTGCGAAACAGGCAAGTGTCCGCGGCAACCGGCCACAGCACACTGGATTCTCCAACATTCCTAACTTTCAGAGCAGATGCCATCCAAGTCAGTGGAGCTGACTGGGTTAACAGTGACACAAAATACTAAATACCTGCACCTGTCTGGAGCGGAGGCAGTGAAGGGGCAAGGAGGAAGACTGATCAAGGGGACTATGTATTTAGGAATCTGCAGAACTATTATGAACTGAGAGCATAGGTGAAACCACCACTAGCCCCGCAAAGGCCACTACAAGAGAAGACCAGAAACAGCCAGCAGCCACAGAACAGTTTGTGATTAGTATCAAATCCCACTGCCAAGTCAACTGCAAAAAATAAATAAGGATACAGCATTCTTTCTCTGGGACACAGGCTTAGGTAAAACACCGTGAGGTCCTTCCCAGACCCACCATTTTACAAATCCCACGAATAACAGGCAGTTTAGAGCGTATCCAAATGCAAGAGTTACTGTGCTTCAGCCTCTGAAGAGTTATTCTGAGAGACAACAAAGCAGAACGAGGGAGGGACTTACGTGTTGAGGTACCGAGTCGTGATGCCATGGACCAGCTGCACGATGTGTCCGTGCCTGACAGGACGGGGTGGGTTACTCACCACCAGCTGCTGCCTGGTGGAGTGACACCCAAAAGGAAGTGGTTACATTCTCCTTTCTATATAATGCAACCTTGTCATGACCAAACTGTTAGGTCAAGGAGCTGCAGGCAGGGACAGATGAGAAATTAGAGCAATCTATAGATTGTACCAGAATGGAAACAAAGCTCATCAAGGCAAAGGTGAGTCAAGGGCAGAATGACTCAGAGGATGGGCAATGGGATAGCGTTAGGTTGTGGTCTGAATCCAGGTCAGTCAGGAGCGAGTTCAGATTATTCCCACCACACAGCTGTCGGGTGGCTTCTGTTAAATGAGTAAGTGCCTCAGTGACATCTGACGGGTGTTGGTACCACAACCGATGTCGCTTTTGGCAGAATTATAAGAGAGATTGATGGCTATCTCCACCATGAAGATCGAACTCTCATCTTGCTTCTGGACAGGGCTAAGGCATGCCTTGGCAAGGGAGAGCGCTGCTGCTCACCTAACTGCTACCTGTATTTTACTGTTCTACAGAAAGACTTCACATCTTTCAGGGCGCGTAGGAGTCTTGAGTTCTGAAGAATTTTAAGAAGATATTGGGTTTCTGTGGTTCTGTTGAGTTCCCACTTGAAAGGTTTGCACTACGGACAAACTTTCCCAATGTGGATACGATTTATAATGGCACACAGTCTTTCTGGTAAGACTCTTTATACAGTCCCCAGAGCAACATAAGAAAACTACAAAAGCAACTTTTTGATCAGTATGAAATGATGTCACACAACAGCTTTTACTGGCAAAACTACAAGAACAGAGAGTCCTGCTCTCCACTGACAGTTACAACAACAAAACACTTCAGCACAAACCAGGCCTCTCAGGCACAGGCACCCACTTGGAATCCCTCCCAATGTGGCGGATTCTACAGGTCATCCCACACTTTAAATACCAAGAAATACTTATTCTGCAGAAGTGATTTCTACTGTCTTCTGAGACTCATTCAAGTTTGATAAAACTCATCAAGGCACTCTAATGCCATGGCTCACACACTTCAAAAAGCAGAACTTCACTTTCATGCAAAGCACCTGAAGAGTTCCCACCAGTCTCATGAGTCTTAAAAGTTCCCCTTGTGCACAGCTCACATTCTGGCAGGAGCAGTTCAGACAAAATTTCAGACTTCTCAATAATGCTTCTACCATATTGAGGAGGACTCTGCAAAGAGCCACCCTTACCAGCTCTGCAGCTGAAATTACTTGCTCAGGATCACACGTGGCCTCTATGTCTATAAGCAGAGAATAGTTATGTCCAGCCCAAGCTATGCCCTGTTTAGGTTTTAGAAGTGTATAAAAGCTATGCTTGACATTTAAATCTCTTGCATACTCACATTCCAGGATCTTTGACAATCCACCAGTTGTTTACATCCTTGAAGGGATAACAGGTCACCTGCTGTTGATGGGAACTACCTCGGCCATTCTCATACCTGTACAGAAGGTTAAAAAAATCCACGTGTGTGTAACAGAACATCTCTGTGCTCAACAGAGTCACAGCAATACAAACCAGCACCAGATCACTGGCTCCATTCCTACAGAGCACAGAGAATCTGTGCATCTGCAATGTGCTCTGAAGGATTAACAAAGAGATTTGCCAAGACCCAAACTGAGATACCTGTGACTGGCAGGTAAAGAACCAGAGCATACTTTCATCCTAACATACGGACCCAACCAGATTCCTCACCTGATGGGATAAGTATTCGTGTGAGAATGGAGCCAACACTGCATGGGCTTGCCCAACACGTTCCGCAGAGTAATCTGAGAGCCGTAGGCCACCTCTAAGGGCTGACCCTGAGTGATTCGAGCCAGCCCACCCTGAGAAGGATAACGATAAGGTAAGAGGAAAGAAGAAGAAACAACCCAGAGGCTGTTTGAATCCTATTAAGAGTCACCTGTCACTTTAACATAGCAATATCTTAGCACGACACCTTCTCATTTGGTTCTATCTACAAAGATCAAGTCTTACAGCACTATAATCAGCAGATACTAAATACACCAATGCCTGAAAGACTTCAGGGTCTTAGGGAATATCCCTAAAGCTGTGCTGTTCTATAAGACAGACTAAGTATCCTTCTGCAGAAAATCATACTGTCATCCTGTAGACACTTAAGAGTTCAGAACTATATCTACTTCTGTGGAGTTTCCTGTAGGAACGGACAAATCTTCAGCAGAAGAGTGAATATATTGTTCTTGGTTCACTGGGAAAAGCTTTTAATCTGTTACTAGGATTTCAGTCATTATTGCTTCAACTTAAAGCAGTACTACAACAGCAAAGTAGTTAAATGACATAAAAAGAACAAATATGTGGGATCAAAGGAACAAGATTGCACACCTTTCTTCTAACAGTGAACACAAGACCGATTTCACCCTCTTGTCCCCTAATAAATCAGTTTCATGACCACATTTCCTTTACCTCTAAGCTGGCTTGGAAAGCACTTGTCATAATCTGGTCATGAGGCCCAGAGCGATACAGCAAAGTCAAGTGAACATAGAAGAAGGACAGGTACATTGCCACTGGGATGATGACAAGGGCCAGTCCTCTAGCTAGAAAATGGCACATCAAGGAAACCTAGAAGAACACACGAAACTCACTGATTTCATGCTCCAGATATTAAAAACATTAAAAATACCAGTGCGCTCGGCTTGTTCGGTTTGTCTTTTCTAAGTTTCCCCAACCACCCTCATTTAGCTGTAACTTCGTGGACAGCTGGATAACTTCTACTGAGGATTTGAACTGGAGCTAGCAGGAGGTATGTGAAACAGTATAGGTTTTGAGCCACAAATCACCAAGACATGGATAAGAGCAGAAAAGGCAGTCATGCACATGTTTTTCTTAAATTTAGCTCCATCTTCCCCAGCAACATAAGTGGGAAACTGTTCTATGACACGCAGACAACGACAAGGAATTTTAGTACAAAAACCATCTACAGACAGCATCGTTATCTGTGGGTTTGGCTGGCTCCTGTACTGAAAAGTTCTAAATAATACATTTTGCATGTTGTGCTACCTACATTTGAAAATTTCTGGTCTCCTATCATGTGCCAGAAGTGCAGCCCTGCGATGGCCAAGAGCAGCATATAGGTAAACAGGCCCATATATTTCACTCTGAGAAGAAAGCGCATAAAACATGACCACAGTTAAAAACTAAACAATTACCTAACACAAGACATAAACAGTCAAACTTTCTCTTGAACAGGTCGCAATAAAGTCCAAGGACTTAGATCCATGACAACTTTGGCACAATAACATAAATAAGCTTCAAGGCGGACACCAGAAGTTATCATTTGTTTGCCAATTACATGAAGTAACTGCAGTGACAGAGAACCTTCTTGATACCAAGGTGGCAGATCACAAAGTCCCTAAATTCAGACTTACTGAAGCTTGAGGCGACTAGGAGGGAGGGGTGAAATGCAGATGTTAATTTGTAACATAAAGCCATCTGAGAAATGCATTTTGTTCTTCCCAGGACAGTACCCTCTCATGCCTGGTACTGCCCACTGTGAATTGACATCCTCTCTGTAGAAACAATCGAACTCACTAAAAAGCCATGGAGATGTCTGCTCGGAACAGCACCAAGAATCAGTCTTGAAAATCCAAAGCCCCACTGATACCTCAGATGGCAGGCAGAAAAGCCAGCTTACTAAACCAAAGAAGACGTCATCACTTACCCAACTGCACAAGAACAAGCTACTCCAGTCAACAGAAGCCAAAACCACCAGCTCCCAGAGAAGAAACTTAAATAAAAAGACAAAGGAAAGGATGTTATGGTGGGATCTGGGCAGCATCTTAGGATCCTGAATTCAGGTAATTTAACTTGAAAAAAACTTGCTGGACTTGCTATTCCTCACTTTATTCAGGTATTCTGAACCTTCCATGCCACCAACTCTCGGCTCTGACCTACGGTGTGTTGTTAAACGTACTTCTCTGTATCTTGAAAAGCAAAATTGAATGCCACCAGCCTTCTGATACTACAGATAAAAGAAGGTATTACATCATTTGCTGGGCTCAGTTTAAAGATAATTTTACTTTACTGAAGATTACTTTATCCTCTGCAAGGATCAGAGAACATGGGAAGTCACAAGAAAAGAGACAAAGATCTCTAAATTCAGTACCTGTGAACAGTAACAAAGGAGCATTAAGTGACCTGTTATCATCAGTATTTCTATGCACAGAATGAAACCTTCCAAAAAAATTCTGGGAGGGGCAAAGGAGTGCTCCCAAGGGATTTTACTTTTATTGTAAAATAAAAAAGACAACCTTGTTACCAGTCTTTAACACTACTCAGAAGAGAAAACTTCTGGGGAAGTCATATGAGAGGTCAAAGTATTGGGCTTTACAGACAGATGAGGTGAGTTGTAGAACAGTGAAGTGACTTACAGAAAAAAAACCCACAGTTTGTGACAAAAAAAGAGCCACCACAAGAATATCCAAAAATGGGAGACAATCCAGCTTTACCTGTGCCTTTGCAAATTGTAGAACTTCAGGTAGGACAAAACTGCAAGTAGGGTAAAAAAAATCAGTATCGATTCCAGGAGCATGAACCTTGACTGAGTGATTAACGAGTTCTCTGTTGGAAAAGAGAGACAGACACAAAATTAGAGAAATTTATCTGCAGACAAGTACTACCTTGGACAATCCCATCATTATCCAACAGAAGGACCAGTTCCTTTAAGGACAGCCAATTCATTTGCAATCTTATTGGCTGTAACAGGGAGGTGTTGGGTTTAAAGGGACAAAGCCCTTCCAGCAGGATCAAAGTACAGGGCCATTACTGTCTCCAAGGACAAAGAGGTAGGCGCCTTGTAAAGTCTGGCAGGAGGCAGATAAAGGTGCTGTGCTTGCCTAAAAAGGCAAAGCAAATCAATTCTGGGAAATCCAGAGAGATACTCCTCAAGGCAAAGAGGGTCAAGGCAGCGACTCCAGCAGGCAATGAGCACGGTGACAAATCTTCAAGGAAGGGAGCTGCAATGAGCTGCTTTGTGCAGGATTCCCTGAGCCAGAACCAGAGCAGCCGGTAGCTAGGAGAGGTTTCTCTTATCAGACTGCTAAAGGGCTGTTGAGAGGCTCTTCCCCTTTCAGGCAGCTGCCAGCAGACCTTCAGAGGCAAAAAACCAACTGAGAAATACACATCAGGACAGCGTCAAATCACGGTGTTAAGGATGCAGACTGGTTTGCTGCAGTTTGGAGAGGAAGAAATTTGATGAGCTCTAACTGTAAGTAGGGTCGCTCTGCTGTTAAAAACCAGTATGTTGTAACTTATCCTGTAAACTTCTAAGCAAGACAGTACAGGTCTCCTTGGATGCAAGAAATGTGCTTTCTCTGAGGCTGTTAAGGCTGCCCACTTCGCTAAATAATGAACTGAACTTGCATAAAGCCTCAGGCTAGCATGGCAGCCTGCTGCAGAGCTGTTAAGGACAGAGGGGACCAGAGAGCTCAGCAGGGACTGACTGATCCAGGCCAGGGCTGAAAGCACCCTCTGACATACCGTTAGCCTTCTGTGGCGAGATGCTATTCCAGCTTTTTATGTGCCCTAAAAATTCACAGGGGGAAAAGAGACCCTTCTTCCCCCATATGAAGAATGGAGCCCAAGGAAATAATCTTACCTAAGAGAATTAGGAGAGCAGCTCCAAGTGCAGCACAGTGGGAGAACTGCAGTTCCACCAAAATCTGGTATGCTAAAGGCACACAGAGAGCACCAGCCAGCGCTGGCAGGAGTCGCAAGGACCAAACAGGAACATTCACAGTATATTCTGGAACAGGAGACAACAGCCATGTGCAAATTTGGAAACTATTAATTGCACAGAAGGCAGTTCAACACAGAACTCCTTACGACTACAACAAGTTGTTGAATCTAACTCCTGTTTTTAGTAATTTATTGCCCATCTTGTACTGCTTAAATTGTTTTAACCAATTTTAAAAGTCTGTGCTATGGAATCCTAATGCCTTAAACTTTGGTTAGAGATCTGCAGAAGACTTATTCAGGAGAAGCGAAGGTGTCAGATAAAGCATATTTCCACTAGTCAGGCAAAAGAAATCTCTCAGCCGCTGAAATACTGCTATTTTCTCAAAAGAATGAGAGTTAAAATCACCTCTTACCAGCTCCAATCCTGTTCCATAAGAAGTTTCCATCAAATCCTCCTAAGTAACCTACAACATAAGCAACAGTTCAGAATTTCCAGTCTCAAAACAAGTATAAAAACTGGTGCTAAATTGGTCCTGGAACCATTTCCCAAACACACAGCTTTTCCACGCGTGAAAGCCCTCTTTCCCAAAAGGGTCCTTTTTCGTACTGTTTTGCCTGCAGCACTGCTTGATAATGCGCACAGGCAGGAAGAATACAAATTGGGAACAACAGGTTCTCAGTGACAAAGTCACAATTTAATCGATCCCTCCCATGCAGACACTTTTTTGTCATGCAAATCTCAGCTACAGCAAGAAACATCTGCTTGTTGCCTACTATTTCTAGTCACTAGCTGGTCGCATCTTACCTTTCTCTGTACCCAAAGGATTGGATAACAATCAGATAATGGATACATGGCTCCATCAACCCCCCAGTACTCTAACAACACTAAGGGAAACCCTAATTCTCTCTACATCGGAATCTCTCAGCTGCCTTGTGCTTTTCCTCACAGACAGGATCTGACAACTCATTTCTAACCAGCACTTCCCTCTCCCACAGCAACAGGCAACAGACACTTCCCAATTTCAGGAGACGCCCTACCTCCCAACGCTAGCAGCATATGGCCAAAAGGTGGGCCACTGTCATCCACGAAAAAGATCCTCTTCATGTAGAGAGAAACGAATTGGCCATAATAAACTTCATCAAAACTGAAACACAAGAGGCAAAAAGACGTCAAATCGAACTGGAAGTATCCTGCAGGCTACAGGGATACTAAGGCAGGAAACACTGATTTGTTGGCAATAAGCTAAGAATACAATAAAGCACAGTGGCTTTGCCCCCTTCCCCTCAGGAATTTCTGTTAGGGAAACAGAGGCTGACATCAGGCAAGCTCTGCTCTTCCGCTTCTGCGTTCTTATTCACAAATGTTTCAAAACCAAAAGTCTCTGTGATTCAGGTAGAAAATAAACTATTCTACTCACACTACAGCCCGTGGATAGGAAAGCCCCCAAAGACGGCTTATTAATCCCATCACGGTCAATGCCACGAGGTTCACATTTATCTCTGCAGTAACCACAACCGGCTTCTTCAGAAATCCCAACATCCTGTCAAAGGTCCCTCCGAGCCTCCAAGAACAAACAGACAAAAGCAGCAGTCACCCTTTCACTCAACACTCACTGAGGATTGTTTCACAGAAAGCACGCAACGCTACTTTCTGCTGGAAGCAGGTAACGGTAACTGATCTTCCAAAGTTCTCTCACTTTCCACACTTAACGTGTTTTCAGCTCTATCTACAGGAGCAACTCTAAAAATGAAGTTAGCAAACACAGTTAACTTTCCATCTGTCCTGCTTCTGCACGTGTGTGGTTCTCTGTCATCAATAGGAAGCTAGAAACTTTGCTTATTCTTACACTGGTTTTGCAGAAACACAATAGCTTAATTCAGGCCTACATTCCACTTTGTGCTAAGCAAACCTCCCAGCCAAACTCCAATGCTAGTGACAGGCAAACCACATGCTCGGGCACGAGGCTGCTCAGGTAGCTTTCAGAAAAATAAAAAGAGTTACTTCCTTGCAAACTGAGCTTATTTCTTGGGGGGCAGAACCCGCAAACATCCTCTGTCTTAAAAAGCTGGCTCTTGAAGCACAGGCGTAGCTGCTGCAGGGCTCTAGCGCAGCCTAGGGGGGAGCACTGCAGAAAGCAGGATTGAACTCTTCACTCCTGTAGGCAGGCAGAACCGCTAAAAGCTCGGTCAGAAAGCAGCATGGAAGCAGTGTTGTATCTCCTCACCTCAATACAGCTGAAAGTTACTGGAATAAATCCATCTGCACGGCTTTGATCAGGGGAGAACAAAGCAGGACACAAGCACATCACCACCAGCAAGCGCAGTGCCGCCGGCCTTGTTCCTCACTACCTGCAAAACACCAGCGCTGCGTGAAACAGCCCTTTCCAGAAGCCCTTTGCAGAGCTGCACTCTCCGCCGGCACTGGGAATGCACCCGCAGGACCCAGCCAAGGGCAGGC